ACGGATAAACAAGGCTTTTCTCAGGGTGCATGTGTGTTTTTAGATAAGTCGACATTTATCTATTTATTTGGATACTCATAGGCTTTCAAAAAGGATTTGAAGTGGGCTATTCAATATTGATTGCGTGCCCCCACGTGCAGCAAGGCCCAGTGTGTGCACACACACACTCATTCACACACAAGGCCGGGACACTGTGAGAAGCAGGGACAGGCAGAAGCTTGCAAGGGCCTCATGGGGCCAGTGTGAGTTAGGATGAGGCAACTGGATTGAGAGGGAGGCCCACCTAGCACAGGGTAACACAGACAGATGTGGTGTTGGGGGTTCAAATCTGGGGTTTTCTGAGCCCAGTTCACAGGGCTGCCCCCAGAGGACTGAAGCTAGCCCTGTCTTTAGAAAATTTCTTGGTTATATAGAGAGAGGGGGCTCTGGAAATTAAACAGAGTCCACCGGACAACTCACCTCCCCACAGGGTGCTCAGTGTCCCCTAGGGTGAGGAAGGAAGTGGGAGCTGGAGATATGGAGAGGATTTGGAGGGACGGGAGGCAATAACAGCAAGGGCTGCAGGTGGGGGAAGGAGGCCCACAGCTTCCCTCCGTGGCCCCTGCTTGCATTTCCCTTCCCCTTTGCCCACATCAGTTTCAAGATCTGTTCCTCTTTTCTTCTGCAACATTGCTGGCTGGGGGGAAAGACTGTGGTAACAGCTCAACCTCTAGGTTCTCACGGGAGAGAGCCTAGGCCCCAGCTGAGTGGCAGCCCTGTGGGCACCGCAGACTCCAGAGTTCCCAGCACACTTTCCAGCTCTTTTCTTCTCCTCTGTACCCCCAGCTAGTCTGTGAGCAAATATCACCACACCCTTTCTGAGGGTAGGAAACCAAGGACCAGAGCGTCAGTGACAGAGCAGACTCCATCCCTTTGTTCTCAGAAGCGAAAATCCTTCCTCTAGAAAGTATTCCAGGTGTGGTCTGGCATGGTGGCTCATGCCTGTAATCCCAGCACTTTGGGAGGCCGAGGCAGGTGAATCACCTGAGGTCAGGAGTTTGAGACCAACCTGGCCAACATGGCGAAACCCCATCTCTACTAAAAATACAAAATTAGCCGGACATGGTGGTAAGGGGGGGGTGCTATAATCCCAGCTACTTGGGAGGCTGAGGCAGGAGACTCGCTTGAACCTGGGAGGTGGAGGTTCCAGTGAGCCAAGATCGCACCACTGCACTCCAGCCTAAGCAACAGAGTGAGGCTTTTCTCAAAAAGAAAAAAAAAAAGTATCCCAGGTGCCATCTGCTTCTAATCTCTGACAGCCTGGCACAGTGTTGGCAGAAATATGTGTTGAGTTGGCATCAGAGAGGGCCACTGAGAAGGAGTCTCACCTCTCTGCACCCTCCAGGCATGCAGGCACCAATATTCAGTCTTGACCTTCATGGGCTGTTTTAAATCCTGGGCTACTCTGTGGTTTCACCCACAGGGCATGGGACATGGAGGCCAGTTTGATGGGACTCTCCAGGCCAGTGGGGAGGATAGACAGGGGACAAAGATTCTAGTTTCATCTTTTGCAGCCAAAGGTGAGGCGGGCCTGGCCAACTCCTTGGTGACCCCAACTGACCCCAACACTGAGTGGCTGGGAACTGACCCAGGCTGAGCTGAGGCAGCTGTTAAAGCAGTCCTAAAATTAGCCCCAACAGGAATAAGGAGGGGGGATCTGGCCCAGGCTTCAGACTCCCATGGCCCCAAGGGACTGAGCCCACACCCCACTCAAGATGGAAGAGGTCAGCCAGAGTTTTGGCAGTGACCTACCAGGAGGCTAGGAGGGGAGTGGGGAGATTCACAAGCCAGGATGAACACAGTTCAGAAGGGGATTGATGGGCTGGAGGTGCCCCTGCCAGTTGCTTGGACCTTATGTGGCTCCCAGCCCCAAGCCCTTCATAACCCTGAGAGGAACCAAGGAGAGACCTCAGTATTTATGTTCTCCTAGAACAGGACTGAGGGCCCAGCCTGTCCTCCCAAGGCTGAACTGGATAACCTCATACCTTAGCAGCAGGTCGCAAGAGCAGAGGAGGAGCCAGGAGGTGTGTTAGCCTCATTGAGAGAGTCATGGATTGGAGACACATGGGAGAGGCCCAAAGTCAGCCCCATCCTGCCCAGGGATGCAGCTTCACCCACTTCCCTCCTCTGCCTTGGTGCTCTGAGAATCTTATTTAAAATGCAGGTCCTGTCTGAGTGTGGTAGCTCATGCCTATAATCCCAGCACCTTGGGAGGCCAAAGAGGGAGGATCACTTGAGGCCAGGACTTTGAGATCAGTCCTGGCAACATAACAAGACTTCCACCTGTCTCTACAAAAGCTTTTTAAAAAATTAGCTGGATGTGGTGTCATGTGCCTGTAGTCCCAGCTACTTGGGAGGCTGAGGCAGAAGCATTGCTTGATCCTGGGAGTTCAAGGCTGCAGTGAGCTATTCAGTATGATTGTACTACTGCACTGTAGTCTGTCACTGACAGAGTGAGACTCCATCTCTTAAAAAAAAAAAAAAAACAAAACCAAAAACAGATCGTGATTCAGAAGATCTGGGGTCAGGTACGAGATTCTTCAAGATTCTAACAAGGTCCCAGATAGGCCTTAAGATCACACTTTGAGCATGAAACTCATTTGTAGCTTGGGTGGACCCCAAGGCCAGGGCCCCTGTCTTCTCCTGTTCACAGGTATCCTCAACTCCCATCTGCAGTAGAACCTGGCATGGGCATATGGGCACCCAATATACGAGGTGGCTGGCTGTTTTATTGTGGGTTCCTGACTGGGCACATAGGTGTGCGTGGGTCCCCGGGCCTGTGTGTCTACTGCATGTCTCTTGTTACATGTGTAAAAAGTGAACAAAGATGCATGTATACAATAATGATGAAATAAAAGTAGCTAAAGTTTAAAAAATAGCTAATCTTTATTGAGCACTATGCCCAGGCAAGGAACTAGGAGTGTTACATGCAGTACCTTATTTAATTCTCATAACAACTCCTATGAGATGAGAAAACTGAGGCTCAGAGAGGTTAAGGGAGTTGCTCAAGATCGCACAGTGGATAAGTGTCAGGACTGGAATATGCATGTGCACCTATGTTGATCAGTGTACCCATCTTGGTGCATGTGAGCTTGTGGGCATGTGTGCTATTGGTTGGGTACAGGGGATGCAGGAGGTGAGTAGCAGCAAGGATGTAGTGGGCAGGGTAAGAGCCATGCAGGATGATTCAGAGTGTGAGCTTTCCGCAGGCAGAAAGACAGAAAGAGACCTAGGTGGAGGGAGATGCAGGCAGGAGGCGGCAAGTCTGGGCCTGAGTCTTCATACTGCAGGGCCAGCTTTCACTTCCTCCTCTGTGGAATGAGTGGGATAATATTTGCCTCATGAGACTCTGCTGTGAGAAAGAAGCTGATAACAATACAAGTGTGCCACACAGGCCTGCCTGGCACACAGTAGGCACTCAGGATGTGTGAGCTGGTCCTTCCTTCCCCTAGGGACTGAACTGTTTGGGAGTGGCTTGTGCCCCGACTGGTAGCAGCCAGCTCGCTGGATGAAAGGAGGCATCCTGGGGAGGGCTGGGATGAGTGAAAGGCATGGAAGGTGGAGAGGGTTGTAGCTGAGGGAGCACCCAGGGAGGGACAGGCACCCTAACAGAGCGCAGAAACTGACCCACCACCCTTGCCTTGGCAGAGACAGGAGAAGCTGCAAGGCTGGCGATGCCTCCATTCTGGAGAAGCCCTCTCAGGAAAGCAAACACCCTGTCCCTTGACTCAGCCCTCAGCTATGCCACACACATCTGCCCTCACGGTCCTGCAGGCCATGCCCACTGGAGACCAGATTTCTGGGCTGGGCCAGACATCACTTAGGCTGGGCTTTGGAAGTCCCAGTGACTCACTTGCCCTTCCTCGACCCTCAACCGGATCTTGCTCCTAGAGCCGGGGTCCCTGAGGCTGCCCACATGTGGGTGGCTCCCAGAAGGGGGAAGCTGTGAGGCTGCACTGGGCAAACCCTTACGCCTCAGCAAATCTGCTGCCTAAGTCCCTCCTTGTGGGTGGTGAGCTGCCTCATGCAGGGCTCTATAAAAAGGAGGTGGGTTGCTTGAGTAAGCGTCAGTCTCACCTGGGACCTGGAATGAAAGCGGCACTCAGGTGGATCCCCCAGGCCATCCAGAAACAGGTGCTGGGAGTGGAGCTCCAAGCACATTGCTGCTGAGAGCTGGCTCTGTGGGAGGCCGGACTGAAGTGCTGGAGGACCACAGGACTCACAGCATCCACCTCTTTCATCTTCCACATGAGGAGTCTCAGGCCAAGAGAGGGCCATCACCAGGCTGGGATCACCTGCAGAAGGCACAGATCCCACCCTAGCCACCCATCCAAGTTGCTGATGGGAGTACCTCCAGAGGCAGCTGTGGAAGGGTGACTCTAACGCCCCCGTGTGGCAGGAGAGGAGAAAGGCAGGGCTGGGCAGAGGTGTGGGAAACAGCCTCTTTGGATAGGGAGAGTCCAGTGCGAGATGCCCTTCCTGGGTAATAGGGTAAGGGCTCTCTCTACTTACACAGCCTCCATCCCTACAGATCACTCCAATCCAGTATCCATCTCCCCCACCAGACCGGGAGCCCCCATCAGACTGGGTAGGGCAAGGTTGGATCCATCATATCACTACAGCATGCTGGGAGGGCGTTGTGAGGGTTTGAGGAAGCGCTTTGAGTGGAATTGAATTCAGTATAAATGAAAGGAAATAGTGTGGAATGTAGAATGTGGACAAAGACATGAACAATATGTTCATTGAATCAATGTGGGTAAAAGCAGAAACTGTGTTGGTAATTGTTGAAGTGGGTGATGGGCACAGGGGTTCATTACATCATTCAATTCACTTTTGCCTGTGTTTGAAATATTTTGAAATGAAAGAATTAATAGAAAACATAAATTTCCAGCAATAGAAATCTAAATCAATTATGATACAGCTGTACAAAGGAATGTCCCCAGACATTAAAAATGCTGCTGTTGTTTTTATGACAGCTTTATTGATATATAATTTGTATAGCATACAATTCACCCATTTAAAGTATACAATTCAATGGTTTTTAGTATATGCACGAAGTTTTGAACCAGCACAGTCAATTTTAGAACATTTTCACCTTCCCCTAACAAAACTCCATATCCTTTAGCAGTCACTCTTCATTTCTCCCCAGACCTCCCCACCCCGCCGCCTATAAATTTACTTTCTGTCTCTATAGATGTGTCTATTTCGGATATTTTATATGAGTGGAGTCATACAATATGTGATGGTCTGTGTCTGGCTTCTTTGATTTAGCATAATGTTTTTAAGGTTCATCTATGTTGTAGCATGTATCAGTACATCATTCCTTTTTGTGACTGAATAATATTCCATTGTATGGATATATCATTTTATTGATTCATTCATTTATTGATGAACATTTGGACTGTTCCATTTTTAAGCTATTATAAATAATGCTGCTATGAACATTCATGTACAAGTTTCGTGTGTGACATATGTTTTTATTTCTCTTCAATATATACCTAGCAGTGAAATTTCTGGGTCTTAAGGTAAGCCTATGCTTACCTATTTGAGGAACTTCCAGATTGTTTTCCAAAGGGGCTGCACCATTTTACATTCCCACCAGCATTGTATGAAGGTTCCAATTCGCCACACTTTGTTATTATCTGTCTTCTTCATACTAGCCTTCCCAGTGGGTGTGGCACATGTAATTTTTAATGACATGGGGAAAATATCCATGGTATAATGTTAGATTTTTAAAAGCAGGCTTTAGAACTATTCATACAGTGTAATCTCAACTCTGTAAAATGCATATGTCTATAGAAACCAGACTCAAAAGAAAAAAATAATCTACCAAAATGTTAATATGATTATCTGTGGCAATTTGTGATCATTTTTATTCTTTCCTAATTTTTGACAATTTGGACATGCATGGATGGGATAAAAACCCAATATTATAAAAAAAGGTAAAAAAAATAATATATGTTGTTAGAAAGATGATACAAATAAATTTAAATAAACATTAAACTATACTGAATGAAGCTGATTAAGAATCTGTGTGTAGGACCATGGTGTGTGTGGGCACTTGGAGGAGGGTCTCTGAGTATGGTTGGAGAAGCTGAAGGGTCAAGCCATTGATTCCAGGACATGAGGGTGTGCAGAAAAGGAGCAGTCACTCTCAGAGGGAGTCAGGGAAGCTCCATTGGAAGAGGAAACTCTACAGTTTGGCTGCATCTGAAGCAAGAGAAGAGATGGTTGGGAGCTGGGGGCATCCAGAGCCCAGATACATCAGACACAGCTCTAATCTCTGTGCACACAAGCCTCTGGGGTTGCAGCAAGGGCACCAATGTCCCTAAAGGCAGAGACAGGGGTCTGAGTGATCCTGGCTCTGCCCTAACTTGAGGTGACTGACCTAGCCCCATGCATTGAGGATGAGCCTCCTTACCTTCAAAATGGCCTTGATAACTTCTCTTGAGGACTGTTGTGAGGCTTGAGTGAGACAGGAGTGTGCAATGGTTCCAGCCAGGCCTCTCCCACAACAGGTGAGGGATTTGCTGCAAGGACAGAGGGAGAGACAAGGTGACTCTAATGGTGGGGTGATGTGAGGGGAGGTTTGGCAGGGAGCAACCCTGAGCTGGGCTTTGAAGGATGGAGGCTGGTAGAGGAGGAGCTATTCCAGGCAAAAGCAGCTGGGATAGGCCTGCTTGGGGGTGGGGTGCTGGAGACAGGGTTGCCTAGCCTGCTCATAATAAGAAGTCACCACAGTAAAGATACAAATAGTCTCCTGGGAGAGAGGCCAAGCCACCTTGTTATCTACTTTACCAGCTAAGCCCAGAAAGGGTGGAGCAGGCTCAAGGTCACCTGGAGAGATTCTGGCCTCAGCTTCCCAGCAGAGGGGTCTTCTGTAGAAAGTGACCCCAAGATAAGGGACTGTCATGAGAGTCACAGATTTGTACCCCAAACTTAAGGGGGTATCTGAGCTCTGTGTGTCCTTCCTACCCACCTCTCAGGTAAGTGGCTTTCCTGGTGTCATGGAGTTGGAATGGGGGAGGAAACAGTTTTATTTTCTTCTTTTGCTCCTCTGTTTTTTCCAAGTCCTCTACACTGGACAAGTACTATCCTTGTTATTGCAGAAAATGGCATGGGCTGCTGTTGCTGTTTTAAAAAAAAACATTTTCAGGATGATTTTGCAAAAAGTCAGTGTTACAAAATCTCTCAACTTATTGTCAAACGTTTCTGGAAAAAAATATCCAGGGAGGTATAGCAAATGTAGCAAGGTATTAACAATTGATGCTTAGGCAAAATGTAGGCCACTGTTCATGATACTATTCTTTCAACTTTTCCATAGATTTAAATTTTTTTAAGTTTTTTGGGAAAAAAGGAAGATATAAAACCATACACACAATGGGAACCAAAAGCTGGAAGGAGAGAACACTAAACAATGAAACAAAATCTTTGTGACCTTGAGTTAGGCAAAGGTTTTATAAATACAATACCAGAAACGTGATCTATAAAGGAAAGCTATTGGTAAATTGGACTTCATCAAGATTAAGAACATTTGCCCTTTGAAAGAAATTATTGGGAGAATGAAAAGACATGCTACTAACTAGGAGAGACTATTGCAGTACACATATCCAAGAAATGATTTGTATCTACAATATAGAAGGAACTCTCAAAACTCAATAGTAAGAAAACAAACCACCTAATTATTAAAAAAAAAAAAAAAGGAGGCAAAAGATTTTAACAAATATTTCACCAAGAAGGTGTATGGATAGTAAATAAGCATATGAAAAAAATGCTCAAACACATCATTACCTATTAGGACAATGAAAATTAAAAGCACAATGAGATACATCTATTAAAATGGCTAGTATTAAAAAGCCTGACCATACCAAGTGTTGGTGAGAATATGGAGCAACCAGAACTCTCACACACTGCTGGTGGGAATGCATAATGGGGGAACCACTTCTTAAAAAGTAAAACACAAACCTGCCATATAACCCAGCCACTCCACTTCTAGATATTTACTCAAGATAAATAAAAGCATATGTCCAAAGACTTATACAGAAATTTTCAAGGCAGCTTTATTTGCAATAGCCTTAAACTGGAAACAACCCAAATGTCCATCAACAAGTGAATGTGTAAACAAACTGTGGCATAGACATACAATGGAATACTACTCAGCAAAAAGCAATGAACTGGTGGATAACTTCTGGAATGGTGGCATGAGCAGCTCTGCAAACCTTCCAGACCTTCTCCCCAGAAGAACAAGTAAAACTGTTAAAAAAATTGTACATACATAATTATCTATTTATATCTACATTAATATCAAGATAGATGTCTGTTCCTGTGAATTTTCCTGTCTACAGCAGATGAAGGAACATTTATTCAAGAAAATCTACTTAATTTCAGTAAGAATAGTAAGAGTCTGGGACATTTGAGCTAGAACTCACTCCTTCCCTGGCCCCATGCACCTCCAGCTCAGCATGATGGAAACTCCACTTCAGGCAGGTGAAGCCAAGAATGCAGAGCTCTTTCTTCTTCCAGGTTCTAATCTTCTCAGCTCTGTGTTGCTGGAAAAATTTGTTAGCCACCTGCAAAAGAACAAATATGTGAAAATTAACTCAAAATGGATCAAAGACCTAAACGTAAAAGCTAAAACTATAAAACTCTTAGAAGAAAACATAGGGGTGAGCCTTCATGACCTTGGATTTGGCAATGTATTGTTATTATAATTATTATTTTCTTTGAGACAAAGTCTTGCTTTGTCACCCAGGCTGGAGTGCAGTGGTTCAACCTCAGTTCACTGCAAACTCCACCTCCTAGGTTCAAGCGATTCTCATGTCTCAGCCTCCCAAGTAGCTGGGATTACAGGCATGCGCCACCACACCCAGCTAATTTTTGTATTTTTATCAGAGACAGGGTTTCACCATGTTGGCCAGGCTGGTTTCAAACTCCTGACCTCAAGTTATCCACCCGCCTTAGCCTCCCAAAGTGCTGGGATTACATACAGGCATAAGCTACTGCACCTGGCATGGCAATGTATTCTCAGAATAACAAAAGCACAATCAACAACAAGAATGGGGGATTTGTAAATCATATATTGGATTAGGAATTTGTATCTAAAATATATAAAGCATGGTTAAAGTCTGGGGGCTCTGGCTCACATTTGTAATCCCAGCACTTAGGGAGGTCAAGGCAGGTGGATCACCTGAGGCTAGGAGTTCAAGACCAGCCTAAGCAATATAATGAAACCCCATCTCTACAAAAAAATTAATTACCTGGGCATGGTGGCATGTGCTTATAGTCCCAGCTACTCAGGAGGCCGAGGTGGAAGGATCACTTGAGCCCAGCAGGTCAAGGCTGCAGTGAATAGTGACCGTGCCACTGCACTCCAGCCTGACAAAGCAGAACCCTGTCTCAAAAAATTAAATAAATTAAAATAAAAAATAAATAAAACAAATGAGAAAAGCATTCACTCGCCATTAAAAGTATGGTGTTAGCTTTAGGTTTTTTGTGTTCTTTAGTTTTGGCTTTTATTTTTTACTTTTTTTCTTTGTTGAGACAGGGTCTCATCTGTCACCCCAGCTGGAGTACAGTGGTGTGATCTTGGCTCACTGTAGCCTTGATCTTCCAGGCTCAGGCGATCCTCCCGCATTAGCCTCCTGAATAGCTGGGACCACCATGCCCAGATAATTTTTGTATTTTTAGTAGAGACTGGGTTTTGCCACGTTGCCCAGGCTGGTCTTGAACACCTGGGCTCAAGCAATCTGCCTACCTCAGCCTCCCAAAGTGCTGGGATTACAGGCATAAGCCACTGCACCCGGCCCTAGTTCAAATTTTATTTATTTATTTATTTATTTATTTATTTATTTATTTAATAGAGACAGGGTTTCACCATGTTGGCCAGGCTGGTCTCAAACTCCTGATGTCAGGTGATCTGCCTGTCTCAGCCTCCCAAAGTGCTGGGATTATAGGTGTGAGCCACCACGCCCGGCCTCTAGTTCAAATTTATTTAAATGACACAGCAATTAAGCAAATAAGGCAAAACATTAATTGTTGAGTCTAGAAGAGCATATGGGTTCTCATTTACTTGTTATACACTTTTTTCCTTTGTATTTGAACATCTTCTTTTTAAAAAAAATCACAGGGAGGCCAGGCGTGGTGTTCACACCTGTAATTCCAGCACTTTGGGAGGCCGAGGTGGATCATTTGAGGTCAGGAGTTTGAGACCAGCCTGGCCAACATGGTGAAACCCTATCTCTACTAAAAATACAAAAATTAGCTACTCAGGAGGTTGAGGCAGGAGAATCACTTGAGCCTGGGAAGTGGAGGTTGCAGTGAGCTGAGATTTCACCACTGCACTCCAGTCTGGGTGACAAAGTGAGACCTGTCTCAAAAAAGAAAGGAGAGAGTGAGAGAGAGAGAGTGAGAGAGAGTGAGTGAGAGTGAGAGAGAGAGAGAGAGAAAGAAGAAGAAGAAGAAGGAGGAGGAGGAGGAGGAGGAGGAGGAGGAAGGGAGGGAGGGAAAGAAGGAAGGAAGGAAGGAAGGAAAGAAAAGAAAGAAAGAAAGAAAGAAAGAAAGAAAGAAAGAAAGAAAGAAAGAAAGAAAGAAAGAAAGGAAGGAAGGAAGGAAGGAAGAGAGAAAGAAAGATGAGAAGCAAACATGAACAATCAATCATTTGCTGGGTACACAACAGAGCTTCTCTGGGTTCAGGAAAGGTAGAAGGAAGCCTGAAGCCCGGGGGGTGGGCAGCCCAGGTGGGGCCAAGATTTGGACCCCTTGAGCTTTCCCCTGGAAGGAATATGCCCACCGGGATTGGCAATGGGGAGGAGCCCCTTTTCCAGACATCCACCCATGCCAGCAAGGTGCAAATGAGTGGTTTTCTATTTATTTTCTCATTTAATCCTCACATCCCATGAGGCAGTACCATTATTATCCCCATCAGCTGAGGAACTTGAGTCTAGAGTTAAATAATTACTTAAAGATCCTTCTGCAATCTAAGAGCTGGGCCTGGGCTTCTTGGAGGCCAGGGAAGTCATATGTTTTTATCTCCTCGGATGAACCTGTGGGCAGCCTGACCTAGCCGCTTCCCCGGGGGAAGAGGGTAGGCTTTCAAGAATCAGGAACTCCACTAGGTAACAGACCCAAAGGGAATGGGGTTGGAGTTTGAGGCAGGAGCTCTGTACATGCTTAGACACTGAAGGTCAAGAAAGGAGGTAGGTGTGGGGCAGGGAAATTCTGACAAGGTGTGTTGGCCACAGGTACCCAGGGTTGTGACCTTTCAGACCTCATATCCTGGCACTTCCTCTGCTGTCCCCCTCCTCTCCACACCTGTCACCTTCAAGCTTATACACACAATCTCCCTCTTCCACGCCTTTGCACAGGCTGTTTCCTGAGCCTGGAATGTCCACTGCTCACAAGATGAATTACTATCACTCTTCAAGACTCAGCTCCAAGTCCCTGAGTCTGAGCTCCCTCACCCACCCTACATTTTTCTATTAGATCATAACTGATTCCTTGAGGGTCCCCAGATCTGCACAGGACCTGGCCCAGGAGACAATGAGAGTTATATTGATGGCAATGCCTCTCTTTCTTGGCCCTGTGGTACTCAGGGACTCCCCTCTGCCCCAGACTTTCTGCTGTCACAGCCTCCTCATCCTAAATGATCACTTTTTGAGGTCTTCTCCCCTCACATCTGGGGTCACAGTCACTTCTATATCCCCAGCCAATGGCATGGGGCGGCTCAGAGGTCCCACAGCGAGTGAAGGTTTGTGGTGGCATCTCTAGTGGGACTCATGTCACATAAACTGGGCACCAGATGGCGCTGTCAGCCCAAGTTAGGGTTGGGAACCCCAGGCCCCGAGCCTCTGGCTCTGGTATAGCCTGGCGCACAGAGACAGGGTGCAGTTGTCAAAACCCCAAATTCCAGAGCTGCTTCTCCTCACCCCATCCAATGCACTCATTCCTGATTTAAAAGTTCAGGATGTCGCGGATGAATTGACAGTGGAGAGCCTTTACTCCCCAAATGAAGAGAGGAATAGCGACCTTCAACGAGGCTGCACAGCTGAACCAAGAGAACCCAGATCTGAAGGGTCTAGGTAGGCAAGCGGCCAGCTAAGCATCAGTCATTTCCTCCAGACTCTGCCACAGAGGACTGTGTAATGGGACAGCCCCTTCCCTTCTCCATGTCTAAATCCTACTGCCTCATGTTGGTAGCAAGAGCTGAGAAAATGGCCCAAGTGCCGTGTTCTGATCCTGATTCTGGTTCTCGTGTGCCTGTGCCTACTCCCCTGAGCCTAAGGGACCCTGACTGTTAAATGAGGGCTGGACCCAAGAGCTCTGAGCTGCCAGGACTCCAAGATCCTCACTGGGTAGGAGAGGCCTGTGTGTGGGGCCAGTCAGTATCTTGGCCAAGGACAGGCTGCTCTGGGAGCTGCCAGACGGGAAATGTTTTCCGGGAGCCGGAAGGGCTGGCAGAGCCCAGGGCCAGGCTGAGCAACCACAATGGACCCTTGTGTGGAGGTTTAGCTTGGATGCACCCGCAGGTCCAGGCCCTGGGCTGGGGTGGACCCTGCTTTCTGATCTGCTTCCAGACCCAGCTCCTGATAGAGCCCAGCCTAGGTCTAGAGACAGGAGCAGAAGATGGACTCATGCTCCAGCTCCAGAGTGATGCTCACAGGCTTGGTGCCAGTATCCGAATCTCCAGCATCAGGCTTTCTGGAATACTCTTGCTTAAATAACCTTACATAAAATTCAACACCCAGCTTTCCAACCAGGAGGGAGCATCAAGGGGGCAGGGAACAGATCTTCTCCTCCTCAGGCCAACTCATCGAGCTCAGGACAGACAGTTGGACCAGGCTGGTTTGGTGAAGATCCCTGGCTAGGCAGTCCATCTGGGACACCTGGGCTCTAGTCCTGGCAGAGCCTTAGTTTCCTCCTCTGTTCATGGGAGTCAAGGAAGATTATAATACTCGTTTAAGGGGACACAGACACTGTGGAGGTGCGGGGGTGGGCTTCAAAAAGATCTACACAACCCCCCACCCTGCCCTGCCTCAGGAAGGACTCCACCCAAACCAATCCAGGTAGACCCGACTCATCCTCCCCACTTCCTGCTCCTCCTGGATTCCTGCCTGAGGCTCTGAGCTGCCTCTGAAGCAGCCCTCAGGAAGCCCTTTCAGACACCCTGTGGGCTGTAGCAGTTTCCCCTTCTCTGGCTCCATCGCTTCTCAGGGAATGGGGTCCTGCCGGCCTAATGCTTACAGTCATCTCAGAAGCTGCTGCTGGGGTTCATGATATCACCCAGCTCCGCAGGGAATGCTACATCAGCCACCTCTGTGAGGTCCAGCAAACTGTCCTAAGCATGGAAGGAGATGACGCACATAAAGGGTCTGCATGGAAACTCTACCGCACCGTGTAAAGCACTGGACTAGGATGAAGTGCTAATATTTACAAGATGGAAATCAAAACAGAAATGCAAGACTTTGTACTTGGATGGAATAAAAAAAAAGGTTGAGGTCTGAGATGAAAGGAATGTAGTGGGATTGGCCAGCATAAAGGTAGATTTGATGTCTGGCTGTGTTAGCAGAGGCAG